GATCTGTCTGTGAAACCTGAGGAATTTGTGGGACCTCTGTGGCCGGTGGGACCTGTGGGGTAGGGGTTAAATTAGATTTGTGGGACATGTGAGATAAGCGGGACATGTGGAACCTGGACGGCCCGAGGGACTTTTGTGGCCTGTGGGGCTTGCAAGACCTGCTACACCTTTGGGACTTGTGAGAACTGTGGGACCTGCGGGAACTGTGGGATCTGCTCGACCCGCAAGACCTGCTGTAGGACCTGTGGGACCGGCGTGACCTGTGCAACCTGTGGGACCTGGGGGACCTTGTGGGACCTGTGAGACATGCGACACCTGTGGGACCTGTGGGGTCTGCGGGCTTCGTGGGAACTGTGGGACCTGCGAGACCTGCGACACTTGGGGACCTGTGGTACTTTTGGGACCTGTGGAACCTGTAGGACCTGTGGGACCTGTGGGTCCTGCGAGACGTGCGAGACGTGTGGGACCTTTGCGACCTGTGGGACCCAGAGTAGTGACCCACGCTGGGGCGAGAGCGCCAGCCTGAACGACGGAAACCAATCAGAAAGTAACAGCACATTAGACAACATGATTTTCGGCCCAGTTTTGGTCGATCTCGAGTGCAGCAAGAGCAGTGCGCGGAGACAGCGGACCCACGCCCCAGGCCATTTCAGGGGAAAGGGGATCATATGATTCATATTGAGTAGGTGTAGGGGGAGGAGGTGGGGACGGAGGAAGAAGAGGAGGAGGAGGAGGAGGAGGAGGAGGAGGAGGAGGAGGAGGAGGAGGAGAGGAGGAGGAGGAGGAGGAGGAGGAGGGAGGAGGGAGGAGGGAAGAGGACGAGGAGGAGGGCGAGGGGGGAGAGGAGGAGGAGGAGAGGAAGACGACGAGGAGGAGGAGGGGAAGGAGTAGGAGGAAGAGGAGGAGGGGGAGGAGGAGGAGGTGGAGGAGGAGGAGGAGGAGGAGGAGGAGGAGGAGGAGGAGGAGGGGGGAGGTGGGGGGCGGACCAGAGCAACGCAGGAAGCAGCAACGATGCTGCAGTATACCACGTCCCAAGCCCCCTTCCTCATAAGTCACTACACGCCTCCCTCTTCATCACAAGGAGCGCTCGCTTGAAAGACGAGCACTTTATCTGCCTGCCATTCATGCGAGAGCCCCGTTTTGTAAAGAAACTGCTCCGCATGTTTCTAGCAAGTGTGAAAGGAAACGAACAACTAGGACCACCACGTTTAATGGCGTATCCATCAAGAACCGCCTTTTGAATCGGAAGCGCCCAAACATCCACGAAGTCATTGCACACGTGTGAAGTTATGTTTGTTAAGCTTATAGATGTCCGACATGCGAGAGCCCCAGTTTGAACAGGAACCGCCTTCCCGCCGTACAGTTATTACATATGCTCAATTTCGGTCGGCCGGCAAGTCCAGGAGAGTGTCCCAAGCGGAACCCACACCTCGCAAATGAGCCGCCCTCCATTCGTGCAGTCTCTGCGAGCGCTCGAGACGCACGTGCGCGGCGCTGAGGCGAGAGCCCCTTCCCTGGAAGAGAGCTGTGCCCTATCCTCGTAGTAGCTGCAGGCATTTGGCACGAGTGTGCGCGGCGCCCGGGCGTGAGCCCCCATATCGAGAAGAGGAACCGCCCTACAGTGCCGTTTTTCATGCATGCTCCGCGAGCTGATCATGTATAACACATGCTGGGACTTAGTATTAAAAACAACGCCGAGTTCATGCATCAATCTATTCATACATTCATCATCAGTCTAGTCCTCTTGCAAGTTTCAAGTTTCAGGATCATAACTGGTTAGGAAGTATCAGGCGGATGCCGGGGCCGCCTCACCGACACGTCTAGAGGTTTGACAAGGAGGTTGTCTATAAGGGAGTGGAGTGGAGTAGGGAGAAAGAGGAGTAGTAGGAGGAGGCGAAGGAGGAGAAGTAGGAGGAGGAGGAGGAGGAGGAGGAGGAGGAGAAGGAATGTAAGGAGGAGGAGGAGGAGAAGGAAGCGAAGGAGGAGGACGAGGAGGAGGAGTCGGTGGCGGAGGGGATGGCGAGGTGGAGAAAAAGTGGGCAGGAGGAGGAAAAGACAAAGGAGTGAGGAGCAGGGAAGAGGGGGAACGACGAGGAGGAGCAGGAGAAGGAGGAGTTGGAGGAGGAGACCTGTGAAGGGGCCCCGAGGTCCTCCGCAGTCGTGGAGGAAACCAGAGGTCCTCCAAAGCGCCAGAGGTTCCCAGAGGTCCTCCGAAGAGTTGGAAGCACGCAAGCAAGTCGAGAATGAGGAGGAACAGGATGGAAGAGGAATGGGAGGAGGGAGGATTCAGGTATTCGAGAGAGCGTGATCCACACCACCGCTTTACTATGGAAAATTCTTCCCTCTCTTCCTCCGGAACCCGGGGGTCCCCCCCTCCCCCCCCTTCGAAAATTCCCCCCCTGCTGGAACCCCCCACCCCTTCCCCCAGCAAGCCCCCTCTCCCCCCCTAACCCCTCCGCCCCCCCCTTCGGAAAACTGGGAGGGGTCACTGTCCCCGCCACTGTCCCCACCACCACCGTCCCCACCACCACCGTCCCCACCACTGTGCCACTGTCCCCACCACTGTCCCAGTGTCCCCACAGATCCCACCATTGTCCCCGCTGTCGCCACCAGTGCCCCCACCAGTGTCTCACTGTCCCCACTGTCCCCACCATTGTCCCACCACGGTCGCACTCTCCCAATTGTCCCCACTGTCCCCATCACTGTCCCATTGTCCCCACTGTTCCCACCACTGTCCCAGTGTCCCCACTGTCCCCGCCGCTGTCCCACTGTGCTGTCCCCACTGTCCCCACTGTCCCCACCCCTGTCCCGCTGTCCCCACCACTCCCCACTGTACCACTGTCCCGCCACCGTCCTCACCACCGCCTTCACCATTGTCCCCACCACTACCGTCCCCACCACAGTCCCACTGTCCCCACCACTGTCCCACTGTCCCCATACCACTGTCGCCACCACCGCCGTCCCCACCACTGTCCCAGTGTCCCCACCACTGTTCCACTGTCCCGAAGAGCGGGCATCCTTTGCTGGCGGCGAGGGGGGGAGGGGTTCGAGCCGTTAGTGACCCCCCCCTTTTCATAATGGACGGGGGGGGAGGTGGGGGTTCGAACCGGTAGTGACCCCCCCGGGTTTTCGAAGGGCAGGGGAGGACGGATTGGGAACCCCCAGTGACCCCCCCCCGGTTTTCCGCGCCAGCAGCGGTAGAACGCGCTCTTTCTCATTCGGGATTTTTCTTGCGCCTTTGGAGTTCCCTGGGGGATTCCTGGAATCTCTCAGGACCTCCAGGGGCCTCCAGCAGCCTTCAGATACCTCCAGGACCCTCCGAAAGAAGCACCAGGGAGCCCTGGAGACCCAAGGCGCCCCACTCCTCCCTCTCCGCCCCCCCCCCTCCGGGGGTTGGGGGGGTGTCTGGGTGCACTGGGGCCTGGTCCTTCCTCCGTCGCGCCCTCCATCCGCTTGCGCTCCCAGGGGCAGAGGTGCACCTCCGTCTGCTCCCCGCGGTAGGCGTGGCAGCGAGGCCTGATCCCTCGGGGGAGCGCCCTCCAATCTAAGAGACTCGCAGGTGGCCTTCAGGCAGACGCTGGGCAATCCAGAGCAAGAACGCCGCGATGGCATCATCGCCCACGTCGAGGTCGCCGTGGCCATCGTCGCGGTCGACGATGTCATCGCCGTCATCGGGGTCGCCCTGTTCCTCCGTCATCATCCCTTCCCCGTCCCACTCCTCTACCCCCTTCTGATCCTCTTCCCTTGCCCTTCTGATCTCTTCCCTGATCCTCTTCCTCGTCCCCCTGATCCTCCCCCTCTTCCCTGACCTCCCCCCTGATGCTCTTCCCTCTTACCCCCTTCTCAGCCATCTCGTTAATCCGCCTCCTCTGCTCCTCTACCCCCATCTGATCCTTAATCTCACTACACTACTGTTCTCCCTCCCCAGATTCTGTCCGAACGAGACCCCTTGTTTTCCCACATGTTTGTTCAACCGTTGGATAACACAGGTTGGTTTCTCGTATGGCTTCAACGGATCTGAGCGTCCTTATGTGTTTAAAATGGTGTTTCCGCAGCAGCGATGGCCTCATTTCAAGATCGGCACTTTGCTCCCGGCGTTCATAATGGCGCTCTCGCCCCAGTGCGGGCCACAGTTCCAGATCCAAATCCTTCCTTGTCGTGGTTACCCCCCGTCATTTCTACTCCTTCGCCTTCCCCTGGTCCTCCCGCATCTCCCATTAATCCCACTCCTGGTCCTGCTGGTGCTGCTGCTGTTCCTCCTCCTCCCTCCTCCTTCGTTCCTCATCCTCCTCCCCTTCCGGCTGCTGCTGCTCCTCGTCCTCTTGGCATCGTTCGGACGTGTGCATCTTTCTCGGCGAGGACAATCGAGGAGCATCCTGGATCATCGAGCAACAAAAAGCACCCACGAAACCGACAAATGCACGGGGAATGTACACAGTTCCACCTTACGATGGGCGCAAAACACAATGTGTCGTTTGGATGGGGTTCGGGTCTGCGATGGCAGCGTCGGCCGACGGAGACAAAATCCGCGCAATGGAATAAGGGCTGGGTTTAAGTCGGGCCTGTCCCTCTACTACAGGAGGAATATCCAAACATAGCAAAACAAATAATATGGGGACGATTTTCCGACTATTTTTGATTTTCGGGAAGGTATTTTTTGAGTATTCGCGATTTTTCGCCCAAAATCCCCCTGTAGGGGGACACGCCCGACTTAAGGCTGGGTGGGAGGAGTAAGCGGTCAGATGCGGCGGGAGCACCTCGCTTGCTCCCGCCCGTCCTTGCTTCCCCGCCCCCGTTTCGTGCTCCTCAGGGAGAACACTCCGCGAGGCATTCCGTGACGGCAGCCGTTTGCCGACGAGGAGGGGTCGTGTGGACCAGGCGTGCTTTGTCCGTGGCACTGCCGCCTTGCTGGACCACCTTAAGCTCAACCATGCCGCGTTTCGGATGACTCGTGAGGAAGATCCTTCGTCCCCTTCTGCGTCGGCCGTTGGCCGCGCCAGGCGGACAGGATGCTGCACATGGGCTTCGAGCACCAGTTGCGCTCGCTGGTGCAGAACGTGCGGCCCAACCGCCAGGCGGGGTTGTCGTCGGCCGTCGTCGTCGCCGGGGGAGGAAGATGACGACGAGAGGATGGCCAGGTGAGGCAACGGCAGGAGGAGGAGGAGGAGGAGGAGGAGGAGGAGGAGTCTTCTCCCTCTCCGCTCCTATTTTCATCCCTCCCCCCTCCCTCGACTCCTTCGGGGACCCCCCTCGCTGTCGCGGCCAGACGCGGTGTGGAGGACTTGACCGGCCCGCTCCCGACGCGGGGACCGATCTCTGAGCAGCCTCTCGCTGGGCGGGGAGGGGGTCACTTTGAGGAGGAGGAGGAGGAGGAGGAGGAGGAGGAGTCTTCTCCCTCTCCGCTCCTATTTTCATCCCTCCCCCCTCCCTCGCTTCCTTCGGGGACCCCCCTCGCTGTCGATGCCAGACGCGGTGTGGAGTACTTGACCGGCCCGCTCCCGACGCGGGGACCGATCTCTGAGCAGCCTCTCGCTGGGCTCGGGGGCGGAAAAGAGGGGGGTGATGACTAGGGGGGGGTGGACATCATGGCGGGGGCCATGATATTTCCCCAGATTTCATGGCGCCTCTTCTTATTTCATTACGTCCCTGGCCCTCCCGCTGGGCCGCGCACATGCCGCCGGTCATGATTTGCACCCCCCCCTCTTGGACACCCCCCTCTTGGCCGCTCCCGATGGGCGGGGAGGGGGTCACTTTGCTTTCGGCGCGCGCACGCGAGGTTAGGATGCGGCAGGCTCGTGCCGCCTCTCGCGGCGGCATGGCCAGCGCGGGCGTGCGAGGTTCCTTCTCGCCCTCCTCCCCCTCCTCCTCCTCCTCCTCCTCTCCTCCTACCCTCCCTCCTCCTCCTCCTCCTCCTCCTCCTCCTCCTCCTCCTCCTCCTCCTCCTCCCCTCCTGCCTGATGTGCAAAGGACATACAATGAGATAGCAGAGTTGAGGCAAGCAGACACGAGGATGGTCACCGCCGAAGCGACTCCGGAACGTCTTTGTCATCATCTGAGGGGCTAATTCCGGCCCCACTGCCGACGCCTTCAAGGCGCGGGGCCGCGCGTCGGTGCGGTTGCGGTCATCGGCCTCCGCCTCGCCTCCCCTTCCTGCCATGCAGACGCTTTTCTTCTCGGCGACGTTCCCGCCGAAGATCGAGCGCATATCTCGGCAACACCCCAACATACTTATACTATATGTGCGTCGCCCCCCCAGGGGCGACGCGCGCACCGAGAAATCTTATAGTATATGCGTCGTGGCGGGCGCTTTCTGGCCACACCGCTCGGGAAACGATATACCACAAGATGGGTATACTATATGTTCGGGTCGGACGCGCGCCTCCAGGGAGGACATATAGTATTAGTATGTCCATGTGCGTCCCAATATCCAAGGTTGAGGGCGTTCGAAGTCGAGCGCTCCCCGGGGGACTGCTTCGGCCCCAAGAGGGCCCGCAGGAAGCAGCCCGCGGCGCGGGCTCCGCTGCGGTGGGCGGGCTCGACGGTCTCCGGAGACCTCCCGAGAGCAGATGTCGTTGAAGACGGGGCCGCTCACGCGGCGTGCGAAACCGGGGCCCACGTCTGAGAGGCCCCAATTGACGGTCTCTGGAGACCTCCCGAGAGCAGATGCCGTTGAAGACGGGGCCGCTCACGCGGCGTGCGAAACCGGGGCCTACGTCTGAGAGGCCCCAATTGACGGTCTCTGGAGACCTCCCGAGAGCAGATGTCGTTGAAGACGGAGCCGCTCACGCAGCGTGCGAAACCGGGGCCTACGTCTGAGAGGCCCCAATTGACGGTCTCTGGAGACCTCCCGAGAGCAGATGTCGTTGAAGACGGAGCCGCTCACGCGGCGTGCGAAACCGGGGCCTACGTCTGAGAGGCCCCGATTTGCCGTGCGAGCGCAGTCAACCCGCAGTGTGAGGATGAGCAACTCTCCAAGGCTGCACGTGCATCCTTGCTCCTTCGGCCCATCCTGAGCGACTTTCGCCGGCCAACCTCGTTCGAGAAACGGTAACATGGCCCTCCAAGGCCCTGGCATCTTTACCGCGCATCACTCTTATCCGGGTTGACTGTTGGGTGCGCGAAGAACTCGAATAATAACAAACTTCATGCACACCGGATCGCCCGCGGGAGCACGAAGATAGTCGCGCTCTGCGCATTGCGGCCCCTGCGCATCGCGGGGCGCGATGCGCGAAGTTCGGTGACCTAGACGCAGAACTGTTCGACGGTCTGTACGGACTTCTCGGATCTGAGCTGGACCCCCCTGGCGGTGTTTCGGCGCCGCGCCTGGCGTCATAAAGGGAAGTTCAGAGCCGATCCATGGAGTCCGTGCAGGCCTTGAAAGATTTCGGTTTATGCAGTTGTGGTTCTTCCTCTTCGAACGGCGTGCGGGCAGAGCCGAAAGCATCTCCCTGCCCTGCAGATGCTCTTCTTCCTTCCCCTCCTCCCTCCTCCCTCCTCCTCATCCTTCCTCCTCCCTCCTCCTCCTCCTCCTCCTCCTCCTCCTCCTCCTCCTCCTCCTCCTCCTCCTTCTCCCCGTCCTCCTTCTACCCCTCCTCCTTCCCTTCCTCCCTCCTCCCTCCTCTTCCTTCCTCCCCTCCCTGCCCTGCAGACGTTGTTCTTCTCGGCGACCTTCCCGCCGAAGATCGAGCGCATATCCCAGGACCTGCTGGCGAGCCCGGTCAGGATCACGATCGGCAAGCTTGGGCAGGCGGCGGAGACCGTGGCGCAAACAGGAGCCGTTTCTTCTGCAAGGAGGGTTGGGCGACGAAGAAAACACATTGCGCGTCGTCGGCGGTGGTGGAGTCAGGAGGAGAAGGAGGAGATGTGGAGGTGGAGCAAGGTGGATGAGAGGAGGAGTGGGAGGAGGAGCAGGAGCAAGACTAGGAAGAGGACGAAGAGAGAGGAGGAGTCGGAGAAGGAGGAGGAGGAGGAGGCACAGGCGAAGGAGGAGGAGGAGGAGGAGGAGGAGGAGGCGAAGGAGGAGGAGGAGGAGAGAGGGAGAGAGAGAGAGAGAGAGAGAGAGAGAGAAATGAGGAGGAGGAATTTTGAGTGAGAGGAGGAGGAGGGGAGGAGAAGGAGGAGGAGGACGACGAGGAGGAGGACCAGGAGGAGGCGGAGGAGGGGGAGGAGGCGGATGAGCAGGAGGAGCAGGGAGGTGGAGGCATGCGGGAGGTGGCAGGAGGGAGGGGGGGGAGGATGAGGGAGGGGAGAGGGAGGAGGGGAAGCGGGAGGAGGAGCCCGAATGCGCTTGTACCGTGGCCTCGCTGGCCTGCTGCTCCTCCCCCCTCCTCCCCCCTGGACCCCACCCCCTGCGCCCCTCGCTCTCCTCGCGCTCCTCCGCCTTCCTCTCCCTCGCGCCTTCCTCCTCCTCCCCCCCTCCCTCTCCTCCCTCCTCCTCCTCCTCCTCCCTCCTCCCCCCCCTCCGCCGCCTCCTCCTCTTCCTTTCTCCTTCTTCTCCCTCCCTCCCTCCCGCCCGCTCTCCCTCGTGTTCTTCATCCTCATCCCCCCTCCCCCCTTCGCGCTCCTTTCTCGTCTTCGTCCTCCTTCTCCCCCCTCCTCCGCCTCCTCCTCCGCATCATCACCATCACCATCCCGCCCCTCCGTTCTAAGCGGCACGAGTCTTCACGTCACGTTGAGGCTGTTGCTGAAATTCCAGGCCCCCCCTGCAGAAGTAGTCCCGGTTAGTCGGATCAATCGTGAAATCGCCGTGGACCTCACAAGCAATCAAGAATTAGCATTCATGCTGCTCGGTTTTCCAGGTACTGATGGATTGGGTTGGTGCTGCTAGCAGCACTGCCCTGGACTAGGCATCTACCAGGCGGATATGTCATCAAACTCATAGCGAAAACGGCGATCGCGCGGCTTCGTGTGCAACCCCATCCGACTACTAGAACAAACGACTCAACCTGTGTCCTATCCCGACGCTGTATGGGCACCTCCACACATTTAAACAGCCCATGTCCCACTCCCACCGTGGGTTGGAGAGCGGGGTCATTCCAGACTCATTCGCACCATTAACCCGCATACTGGTCATCGGTCAAGCACTCAGGTTGGACTCCATATTCATGAAGCATGGTGCCCACAACATGCAGGGGCTGGCGCGGCACGTGATGGCCAGCGTGGTTCGGCCAAGTGGTACGCGCGGCCATCATGAGCTTGGCACGCTGTGCTCGGCGGCGAGCGAGGAGGGGAAGTGAGAAGAAGGCCCTTTCAGAAGGCGGCGGGACTTCTCAGACGCGCCCTCGCGCCTTCTGAGAGGTGTTTTCTGTGTCTTCGGCGACGGCTCGGACAATTTCTTCAGAAGGCCGGGGGACTTCCGGGCCCTCCGAGGAGTCCCGCCCCTCTTCGCTTCCCCCCCCGTGCTCGCCGCCGACCTTCCCCTTCCCACTCCCCTCCTCGCCCCCCGCGGCGGCCGCCAGCGGAGATCCTGGAGACCGAGGAGGCGAAGTGGCCCTGGCTCGCCGCGCGGCTCGAGGCCATGATCCTGAAGGGGCAGGCGCCGCGGCACCTGCCGCCCGCCCCAGCACGAGAGGCTAGGCACGCTGTGCCCGGCGGCGAGCGGGGGGGGGGGGGGGAAGTGGGAAGGCAGAGGCCTTCTCAGAAGGCGGCGGGGCTTCGCAGAGGCCCCCCGGCCTTCTGAGAAGCTTGCTGTGTCTTCGGGGAAGGCTCTGAGCACTTCTCAGAGGGCCGGGGGACTTCGAGCCTCTGAGAAGGCCCGCCCCTTCTCGCTTCCCCCCCCGGGCTTGCCGCCGATGTGCGCCAGCGCCCTGCCCGCGTGCCGAGTGGGCACTGTCGGGGACACCGCATTCCAGAGCGTGCCTTCGACGGCGCTCTCGTTCTCCCGCCTTTTTCTCGGCCACGGCGCCTCGTGTTCGCCTCGCTCTGACTCGCTCCGTTCCCTTCCACTCGGAGTGGACATGGTACCCATGCTGCTACCTTTCGGCCGTTTTCCCTTCTTGGGGGGCCTCTTGGGAGGCCCTCGTCGCCACCGCTGGATGCGCCTCGAAGTTCTGGTCAGAACGCACCCCCGGAGAGGTCCGGAGAGTAGCGGTGTCGGTGCTTGCTCCTTTCACCCCAACCCATTCCGAAGGCCCCAATTTGCGCTCCATTCCCAGTGGGAGGGGCGTCGGGGAACATGGACAACCACAAATGTGGAACCCGTAGCCCCCCCCAACCCGAAATTTCGGTCTTCGGGTTAGGCTGGGGCGGTCCGGGAGGTGGTCACCTGTTGACTCTCCAGCCACCCCTGAGCACTGGAAATGAGGCCAGCGCTGCAGCGGGAGCACGAGTCGGAACGAGCGGAAGCGCGGAAATGAGCCCAGCGCTGCAGCGGGAGCACGATTCGGAACGAGCAGAAGCGCAGACGTGTGGCCAGCGCTACAGCGGGAGCACGATTCAGATCGAGCAGAAGCTCCAAAATAAGGCCAGCACTGCATGGCCAGCGCGGCAGCTGCGCCATGAGTTGAGCCATGGGGCGTCTCCGAAAAGGGCCCTGCGCTGGGCCGCTGGCTCTCAGCAGTGGAGGCGGCGGAGCTGCTCGCGTGACGCGCAGCAGCTAGGCCTCACAGAGGGGGTCGGAGGGTCGCTCGGCATCGTCGATGCATCGGCGATCGGCGATGCGGTTCGATGCGGAGCCCGATTCCTCCGCGCAGACGGCGCCGATGTATCGGCGACGCATCGGCTATGTATCGGCGATGCGGCGCGATCCTCCGACCCTATCTACTCGGACCCCATCTGGGAAGCCCAGGAAGCCTTTGGCTGGGCAACGGGAAGGGGTGGCATGCGTAGTGCTCGGAGGGGCGGATTGCGGAAGCTTCGCGAGTGAGGGAAAGAATGAGGCAATGATCAGCAGAGATGGCAGACGCCAACGTAGTCTAGCTACTAGGTGTAGCATTGGGTGTTGCAATTGGTATTGGGAGTGGGAATGGTGGTAGTGGTGGTGGTGGTAGTGGTAGTGGTAGTGGTAGTGGTGGTGGTAGTGGTAGTGGTAGTCGTTGTAGCCGGCCAGGCTGCTTGACCGGCTCTGGCTGTGACCAGGCCAGGCACATCAGAGAGACGTTGTGCACTCCAATGCTTCAGTGCCGCACCGCTCGTACACATTGCGACGCCACAGTGCAGCGCCTGGGCACACTGCGCATTGTGCGTGGGTGCTGCGTCCGAAGTGCGCCCCTGCCAAGTGTCAATACCGCTGGTGACGCTTGAGAGGTGCTTGCAATAACTTAGTCGTGGTAGCAGTAGTAGTAGTAGTAGTAGTAGTAGTAGTAGTAGTAGTAGTAGTAGTAGTCGTCGTCGTCGTCGTCGTCGTCGTCGTCGTCGTCGTCGTCGTCGTAGTAGCAGTCGTAGTCGTAGTCTCGTAGTAGTAGTCTAGTTCGTAGTAGTGGTAGTCGTTAGTAGTATAGTGAGTAAGTAGTAGTAGGGAAGTAGTAGTTAGTAGTAGTTTAGTAGTAGTAGTAGCAGTAGCAGTGAGCAGTAGCCGTAGTTAGTTAGTCGTAAGAGTATTCGTAGTAGTATTTGTAGTATTCGTAGTAGTAGTAGTAGCAGTAGTAGTAATAGTAATAGTAATAGTAGTAGTAGTAGTAGTAGTAGTAGTAGTAGTAGTAGTAGTAGTAGTAGTTCCAGTAGTAGTAGTAGTAGTAGTAGTAGTAGTAGTAGTAGTAGTAGTAGTAGTAGAAGTAGTAGTAGAAGTAGTAGTTAGTGGTAGTAGTAGTAGTAGTAGTAGTAGTAGTAGTAGTAGTAGTAGTAGTAGTAGTAGTAGTAGTAGTAGTAGTAGTAGTAGTAGTAGTAGTAGTAGTAGTAGTAGTAGTAGTAGTAGTAGTAGTAGTAGTAGTAGTAGTAGTAGTAGTTATAGTAGTAGTAGTAGTAGTAGTAGTAGTAGTAGTAGTAGTAGTAGTAGTAGTAGTAGTAGTAGTAGTAGTAGTAGTAGTAGTAGTAGTAGTAGTAGTAGTGGTAGTCGTAGTAGTGGTGGTGGTGGTGGTAGTGGCAGTGGCAGTGGTAGTCGTGGTAGCCAGCCAGGCTGCTTGACCGGCTCCGGCTGTGGCCAGGCCAGGCACATCAGAGTGACGTTGTGCACTCCAATGCTTAAGTAGTACAATAGTAGTAGTAGTAGTAGTAGTAGTAGTAGTAGTAGTAGTAGTAGTAGTAGTAGTAGTAGTAGTAGTAGTAGTAGTAGTAGTAGTAGTGGTAGTCGTAGTAGTCCTAGTAGTAGTAGTAGTAGTAGTAGTAGTAGTAGTAGTAGTAGTAGTAGTAGTAGTAGTAGTAGTAGTAGTAGTAGTAGTAGTAGTAGTAGTAGTAGTAGTAGTAGTAGTAGTAGTAGTAGTAGTAGTAGTAGTAGTAGTAGCAGCAGCAGCAGCAGCAGCAGCAGCAGCAGCAGCAGCAGTAGCAGCAGCAGCAGCAGCAGCAGCAGCAGCAGCAGTAGTAGTAGTAGTAGTAGTAGTAGTAGTAGTAGTAGTAGCTGCAGTAGAAATTAGCCTGACGAAAGACCCAACCATACGTAGTTGTGAATACCGCAGTTGTGGATATATTCCTCGGTGGCGCCCCCGGGCCACGAAACGAGTGAGGGGTGTGCCGAAATGGGGGGGGGGGAACCGCATGCGAGCGCAGCCACTGGGGCGTTCGGTGGAGCTCCCTATGGGGCCACGAAACGTGTGAGGGGTGTGCCAGAATGGGGGGTGGAACCGCATGCGGGCGCAGCCACTGGGGCCTTCGGTGGAGCTCCCTATGGGGCCACGAAACGTGTGAGGGGTGTGCCAGAATGGGGGTGGAACCGCATGCGGGCGCAGCCACTGGGGCCTTCGGTGGAGCTCCCTATGGGGCCACGAAGCGTGTGAGGGGTATGCCAGAATGGGGGGTGGAACCGCATGCGGGCGCAGCCACTGGGGCCTTCGGTGGAGCTCCCTATGGGGCCACGAAACGTGTGAGGGGTGTGCCAGAATGGGGGGTGGAACAGCATGCGGGCGCAGCCACTGGGGCCTTCGGTGGAGCTCCCTATGGGGCCACGAAACGTGTAAGGGGTGTGCCAGAATGGGGAGTGGAACCGCATGCGGGCGCAGCCACTGGGGCCTTCGGTGGAGCTCCTTATGGGGCCACGAAACGTGTGAGGGGTGTGTGCCAGAATGGGGGGTGGAAACCGCCTGAGGGCGCCCAGCCCACTGGGGCCTCGGTGGAGCTCCCTATGGGGCCACACGAAACGTCAGTGAGGGGTAGTGCCAACAGGAATGGGGGTGGAAAACCGCATGCGGGCGCAGCCACTGGGGCCTTCGGTGGAGCTCCCTATGGGGCCACGAAGCGTGTGAGGGGCGTGCCAGAATGGGGGGTGGAACCGCATGCTGGCGCAGCCACTGGGGCCTTCGGTGGAGCTCCCTATGGGGCCACGAAACGTGTGAGGGGTGTGCCAGAATGGGGGGTGGAACCGCATGCGGGCGCAGCCACTGGGGCCTTCGGTGGAGCTCCCTATGGGGCCACGAAAAGTGTGAGGGGTGTGCCAGAATGGGGGGTGGAACCGCATGCGGGCGCAGCCACTGGGGCCTTCGGTGGAGCTCCCTATGGGGCCACGAAACGTGTGAGGGGTGTGCCAGAATGGGGGGTGGAACCGCATGCGGGCGCAGCCACTGAGGCCTTCGGTGGAGCTCCCTATGGGGCCACGAAACGTGTGAGGGGTGTGCCAGAATGGGGGGGTGGAACCGCATGCGGGCGCAGCCACTGGGGCCTTCGGTGGAGCTCCCTATGGGGCCACGAAACGTGTGAGGGGTGTGCCAGAATGGGGGGTGGAACCGCATGTGAGCGCAGCCACTGGGGCCTTCGGTGGAGCTCCCTATGGGGCCACGAAACGTGCGAGGGGTGTGCCAGAATGGGTGTGCGAGGGGGAGGAGGGGGGAGGAAGGGGAGGAGGCGGAAGGAGGAGGAGGAACGCGGGGCGACGTCTCTTCAAAACGAGGACTCAACACCACAGGATGGTTAGGAAAACTACTAGTAGTAGTAGTATAGTAGTAGAGTAGTAGTAGTAGTAGTAGTAGTAGTAGTAGTAGTAGTAGTAGTAAGTAGTAGTAGTGGTATGGTAGTGGTAGTGGTTAGTGGTAGTAGTGTAGTAGTAGTAGTAGTGTATAGTAGTAGTAGTAGTTAGTCGTAGTAGTAGTATACGCTAGTAGTAGTAGTAGTAGTAGTAATAGTAGTCGTAGTGGTAGTAGTAGTAGTAGCAGTAGCAGTAGCAGTAGCCGTAGCATAGTAGTAGTAGTTAGAGTTCAGTAGTAGTTAGTAGTAGTAGTAGTAGTAAGCAGTAGCAGTAGTAGTAGCAGTTAGTTAGTTAGTAGTAGTAGTAGTAGTAGTAGTTAGCAGTAGTAGTAGTGGTAGTGCTGAAGTAGGGAAGCAGTTCAGCAGCAACCGCAGGCCGTAGCAGCAAGGCAGCAGCAGCAGTAGTAGTAGTAGTAGTAGTAGTAGTAGTAGTAGTACTAGTATTAGTAGTAGTAGTAGAAGTAGTAGTAGTAGTAGTAGTAGTAGTAG